CGTAATTGAGGCGAGCGTGGAGGGCCGACGCGGTAGAGGGCGAGCGGAGAGGGCTGAGCGGAGGGTGCAGGGCGAGCGGGAGGCGAGCGGACTCAGAGGTGCGAGCGCAGTGGGAGGGCGAGCGGGAGGGCGAGCGGGTCGGAGGCGAGCGGCGAGGGCGAAGCGGTGAGGGCGCGGGAGGCGGGAGCGGCCGAGCGGAGGGCGGACGCGGAGAGAGCGAGCGGAGAGGGCGAGCGGTGAGGCGCGTGAGCGGAGGCGAGCGCGCGAGGCGAGCGGGCCTCGATCCGATAGTGCAGGCAGGAGGGGGTGGATCGGCAGCTGTTACAGAGACTTGCAAAGGTTCATTAATAATAGACGTCTCTAGTTTTAGTAAAACAGGAATGATTTGAAGGGTTGCTGGTTCTCTGAATGAGTGCAATTGCACTTGAGTAATTTGAAATTTTTTTCGGAGTACAAAATATGATTGACATTACAATACTTTTAAATACCTGATGTATCTTTATAGTTAATTGCAAAATGCCTTATATTGATACAGGACCAGTCAGTGATATAATGCCTGAGGAGTAAAAATCAAAACGGAATAGTCCCAAGACAAAATGTAATGCTTTTAAAACAGGATTGTTATGGTGTTTAACATTATCTGATGTGATTATTACATTTTCCTCCATATTTAAATGAACACTCTCTTTCGCTTGACATCTTTAGTGCAACTACGTAAAGAAATTTTAAAACAGATTACATTTTTAAGTACATTTATTAAAATAATTTAACACAACACGCACGTGCTCATTTAGTCTACAGACCATACCTAGATACCTTTCAGAGTATTGAGTTGCACATCATACCTTCGAATTAAGCTTAAAATCTTAGAGGAAATATTTCTTTATAAATATTTAAAAAGAAAGACAAATACGAAAAGATAGGAAAGATTTCTCTCCAATGGAAATTGGTATAAATTAAGGGAAAACCATAAATCATAATTTCTACGTCACAATTTATATTTGCTTCAAATCGTATCTTTGTATCATCGTATCAAGATGTATCTTTCCACTATTGTTTAAAATCATTGCATAAGAGCGAATTATTAAAGCCTTTTGTAGCGCGTTAATGAAAGCAATCGGAATTTAAGTAGCTGCTTTTTGCCCCGAAGGCCAGTAATCTCGATTTCGACCAAATTGTCAAATAACATATTAACACGCTAACGCATTGTGTACCTATGCCTTTCAGTGTTCACTTTATCTCCTTGAACTTTGTCGGCCAGCTATCCAAAGAGGTAACTCGAAAAGGCAGGCTATAGTACTGTGTTCTACCGCTCGATGGCAGCAGCAATCGAGAACCACTCAAAGAGACTTGTGGTGCGACTTTCAGGAAACATGTATTCCCTCCTGGTTATAACAGTATAGTCCGTGTTCGAAAAATATTTCTGGCATCTGAAGATAATAAATACTATTCTACACAATGTATAATTTCATACAATTTCACGCATTTTTATTGTGTTTTTATAGTGTACATTTCTATTGTGAAGGTGGCGACAAGAATGTCACCACCGCCAACAATGCTTTCTGAGAAAAAGAAATTGATACAATACATCTAATTAAATGTTATTAAAATATTCCCCAACCTGTAAACTGTAAAATGGTTGAACGTTTAGGGCTGGTATATCTTTTATTTTTTGCACAATAGAATGGAGAGGTATAATAGGAATGTACTCTATTCGAAATATGCTACCTATAAATTACACTACCCCCGATTTGCAGGCAGGGGTAATTGTCAGCACTGGTAACGTAATGCATTTGAGAGCGTAGACACTTTCACTATTCATAGAAGCCAGTACAGCATGCAACTTCATTTCCTACAACCCCCCACTAGCCAGGAGTCTAGCGAAGTTCCGCTCAGATCTCTACGAGGTTCGTCATCGTCGTCAAGGTAACCGACGTGGAAATAAAAATAGTTCATTTCCCGTCCGTAGACATCCGCTTGGTGTCCACCTGCGTGATTCTATTACGAGATCGCGAGCCTTCGAGTTCTGCCCCCGATGCGAACACGTCGCTCGTGCCACCTCCATTTGCGACGCGCATTGGTCCGTGTCGACCTGCCACGGGAGTCGAAGCCAGGACCGCGTGCCTGCGAAAGGATGCAATTCTGTTTGTTCGAGTTTGTTCTCTCTGCAAAACGACATTATTACTACGGAATGGATATCGTGGTTGGCTACAAGAACAGATGTAGGAGTCTGCGGGGACGTGTGTTGTAAAAAGAAAAGTGTAAAACTAATTCTACACGGTAAGGGTTCATTGCTTTATATTCGAGTAAGACCTGTGAGGATAACAGTTGTATAGCGTCTAAATCTGATCATCGTATGCAAATTCTAAAACGTTAATATGAATGGTTTTTTTTATTAGAGCTATTTTATGTTTGTTATCTCCGACCGAAGAAATAATATACTTAATTTTTATCTTATTGAAGCCACGATATTGAAGTAGATTCATTCTTAAAATGTCACGTCTGCTATAATACTACGTCCTTCTTGAAGAAACGTGAAATCAAATCAGTTGAATTTTGTACGAAACCAGATTTATATATAACCATTGAATTTTGCATAGTTCAGAAACACGGTAAATTAAAATCAAAGAATCAGTTTCAACAAACTGACTTTTCTTTTATCACAAAGTATTTCCCAACTACTACACGCCCTCCCCCTCTCAACAATTCAACGCGAAACTGAAGTATTCGTAAGGCATATTATGCGAATACCTGATAGGCCAAGTGGATTCGGGTATGTTTGATGATTTGGCATTGCTGATAGGCATTGCAAACGGCACCTGCGAGTCAAACGCGTGACAAAATTGACACAGACATACGCTACGGCGACTTCAGTAACTGCATTTTTATTTTATTATGTTGCTTTTTAGCATCTTGGTCATATAGCGACCATCGTAGTTGTTTTAACTGTATGGACTGTACGAAGAACTCACATGGACAACACGAAAACACACATCCATGTGTGATGCGGGATTCGAACCCGCGACCCTTCGAGCCGAAACAACTTCAGCCTTAGCGATATCGGCCATCCATATCAGCTCTCGCAATCTTGGAATCGTAGGAATTAGAACATCAACAGACAGTTAATTTAAAATTAATACGGCAATACCTGTCTTTGGCATCCTTCACCAACCAGAATGACCTTCGACAATAAAGAGAAGAACAGTAATGAAGTACTAAGGGAAACTACGTTGTACATAAGTACTTTCTGATGAACTCTACCCTCCATTGTGTCTTCTGAAAAGCCCTTTCTGGACACAGAAAGTTTCAAAGGGAGTATTTATGAACGGAGATCCAAAACACTCGCTCGCTCACTGTTGGATGCTCTGATTTATATGTGGTATCAGGAGATGGAGTAGTGTAAAGTGCTTTGATGTCTAGAAAAGGTATTATTCACAACTATGGGGGAGGACATATATAAAGGAATTAACTGCTAGTGAAAATACAATGCGTTTTTAATAGGTTATGGCACACGATTAAAATGTTTTGTTATTATTTTTCCTCTTATTTAATAAACTCAATATTCTTTGCTTTCGCTTGTCTTAGTCGTCTCCAACGTTCAGAAAGTTAAAATAAACAGATAAAACTGAAAATAATTGCATTTATGGGATACGATAGGGCAAGTAATGCTATGGCACCGATCCAGGGTTGTGACACCTCATTATGGCAAATTTAACTATACGCTCTCAACGGTATGAAGGCAATATTACATCAGATTATATAGGCTAAGATGAATCACTTATTTATCCATATTTTCAGCCTGAATTTTACTTATGTTGGTAGTCGAGTTTAGTGATATATCTAAAAATTTATTTTAGAAGAACAGTTTTATCTCCAGCGTAACCGTTAATTTCGCGGCTATAGGCGAAGTATTTTGCTATGGCTGTGTTGTGAAATAAGCCTCGTACATTTCTACATAATAATTCTTGTACATTTATGCAGTTGTTACTATTTTCTATTTTCTTTCTTTCTTCATTCTGTTTTTCCTCTTAACAAATATGAACAGTTTTTAGATATGTCACTTTTCGTGTGCGCAACATAAAAAAGGACAGGCTGGAGAGACATTGGGATCTCACGCAGAGAGAAATATTCTTCAGTTTGACTATGAAGTGGAATTAAAAATTCACAACGCTGACATCTCATAACATTAAAAATATAAGCCAGATTTACGAAGCTCACCTACAGACTTCCCGCTGCACCTCCATTTGTCCTTTTCTCTCTATCCGCTCCGATCGCCTTTATCACCTTACCGCGAGTAACCGCACAAGAACCACCGTCTTCCTCCGCTGACTATTCACTACTGCTTGCTTTATGGTCGATCCGGAGAACGTTTCGAGAGTACGCGAAAATCGAAAATCATATCGATAGTACGAAACTAATATAACTTTTCAGTAACATGCTACAGCATACTTTGAAATATTTTATTTTAATGATCAATTATAGTAGTTAATAAGATTATAGTAAATTAATAGTATTATCAATACAATTTATATTCATACAATTATTAATTTAAATGTGTATCATTATTATCATCAATTACTATCAATATTTACTATTTCACTCGAATCGGTATGTTATCCAGTTTAATTCACAATATTAGAAATCTCGCAAGGTTATTGATGGCTTAATAATACACACCAAGTTCTTAATCTTTAGAGAAAAGTATGATTGTCATATAAAGAAATAACCAATGAAAATAAAACAGAACAAGTAAATTACAATATAGACTAGTACATATCTAACGTAACGAGAAACATATCGAGTTTTGTAAGATGTTCGGTTTCAAAAGATCTTTTGAAACCAGATCTTCCTGACTTTCTCTCATGAATTCCGTAATACAATTGTGTGATCTCACAGAACAACATATCAGCTTTCTTGCATCATTAAATGTAGGATTTCACTAAACGAAGGGAAGGGGTATATGAAAGTTCATTAAAACCTGTAATGTATTTAACAAGATCGAGAATGCCTAATCCAATTTATCCAGGTAACTTATCAAGAATGTTTAATCCAACAGTTATTCGTCTCTAAGTCTCTTGAAAATAAAACGCAAAAGACCGACCTGTTATGTGTTTCGGTCTGAAAATTAATTCATTTTCTATTCTCTAACCAATGACGAAAAGGTTTTTGAAAGGTTTCTTACAAAAACCAAACTAGTCCAAATTCGCGATTTTACAGGTGATACCAACTTCATAGCGCAGACGTACACAGTATTTTTTTCTCGCCTCTTTCAATGAGTTTGGCACTTGTCAAAAGGAAATGTCCCAGCAGATAGCGCCAGTTGAAGGAAATAAATTGGTAAAGTATCTCAAATTATGGAATTATGGACTTGTTTGGTTCTAGTAAGAAACCATTCATTTGTTTTTATCTTTTCATTGCTCTTTATTATCATTATTTTACTCTGGCGCAAAATGTGTGTACTTCTTATTTACATAAAATATTTCAGACTGTGTACGCTCAATTACGATGTGATGATTTCTTCTTGAGTAGTGATGAAAAAGTCATTTATTTTTCATAAGACAAAAAATAATATTTTCACATGTAAATCAGAAAAAAATCCTTTCATTTCAATATTGGATTAGGATTTACACAACATAAGATACAATGTATTACCCACATAATAATTTCAGAAAAAACATCTTCAGCGTAAACCAAGAAAAATTGTTCCCAACGTCGAATCTTTCTGATGAAATTTTTAAAATTTTTATTATGAAAAAATATAATTTATTTAACAAAGACTATACGCAATTTTCAATACAATGAAATAAGTTTTTAAACATAACACCTTCACTACAAGTTTGAATCCCGCGGAAAGCCATACTTGAATTTCCACAGTAAATCGTAATATGTCATATGATGTATGTTGGAGGTAACCAGATGACGTTTGAAGTGTTAAAACCGGTATACACGTTTTCATTCTTAAGACTACCATAAATGTAAGTCCCTAATTGTATCGGTAGAGTGGATTGACAATTCCAAATTTTCATAATGCCTCATGCTCATGATTTGCAAATCATTTTTGTCCATGTTGAGCAGGCTGTTCACTACATAATGCAGTATGATACATAGGCCACCGCCACCAGAGTGAAACAAAATCATTTATTGGGATTATGGAAATAACGCACACAATTCGAGACACATGATTACACACCATAATTCTAGTGAAGTATCGTTTTCCTCAACTCGATGAAAACTTTGGAGTTCGCGCGTGAGCAGAAGCTTAACAGTGGGGTCCTATCGCATAGTATATGTCGGTGCTTCAAGCAGCACGAAACTCGCATTAACGTCACCAGACAATGACTCCAATTTAAGCAAAATCTTCTATAAATATAGAAGTACTTGAGGTGTTTTGAATCCACAAAAACTAAACATGCGTTTTACTATGAAGTTAAAACAACTAGATCTGACTTTATTTACACCGTAAAATTTAGCAAGCTGGAGTTACGAGGTTTTCATTGCCAAGTGCCGATATTTAAGAGTGGGGGAATGTATTCGGATATGTTGCGGAAACGTTCTGCAACGCCCCTTCCCATTGCGCATATTTTTCCCCGCTCGTTGTCGTCGGCGGCTGTGCTCGAGGGCGGCTGGCGGAAACTGTGACAATGCGCCGTCGCCCTCGCCGCCGCCGCCGCCGCGCCGGTCTCGCCCTGGCCGCAACCCGAGCCGGGCCGGGCCGCGAGGCGGTGTCCTCCGCCTGAATAAGCGCCGCCGCTGGCTCCGACCCGGGGCCACTTGAGGAAACAACGCGCAGCGCGGACACTGACACCGCGGACGGATGCGCACAGTGGGCGGCAGCGCCAAACACGTACATGGTTCCATCTCCTGATAACTAACATTACAAACTTTCAGAAAAGCAAAAATCTTAAAATTTAACAAAGTGGAAATTTTTTTAACTCTACAACTATCTTATTTGTCATTTTATATGTGTGCTGAATACAATAACTCACGAAATTATATATTAATAATTTGTACAAGCAAAATATGTCTACTTGCCTCCGTAATAAGAGTTTTACCTCTAATAAATGATAAAGCATGTTACAAAAAAATAATAATAAAAAAGCACTCGCTCACACACACACACACACACACACATCCGTCAATGCTGATTAAAATGACATCATTTGCTTTTGAGAGTTGTTGAGAGTGCTTTTGAAAGTCGAAAGTATCAGTGTACATTTTTCCCTTTGTTTTGCGGTTTACAGTTTTGCAAGTGAAACAGAGCACGTTTAAAAGTGAAATATTTTAATTGCACGATAAATGAGCAAATATTCTGAAAGAGATATTGTAGTGTGCATTATTTACCAAAACATTATATTATTGTTTTAATTAATGCTGATGAGCTTCTCTATTTTCTCTTACAAAAATTTAATGTTTTTTAATATTTTCTGCTTTTATTTACAGTTTCACAAATCTATAAAAAAAGAATTGTATAGCAGGCAAAGGCGACTTCATATTATAGTATTTTATGTTGACAGTAATTTTAAATGAATATTTTGCAGTGTTATTTATTTCATATTCTCACATAAAGTTAATTATACTCTTCTCAAAATCAAAAACTTTGCGAAATGCACATGGTACGTCCATTTACATATCTTTCGTGAAAACAAGTATTTAGTGTTTTAAATTACGAACTATATGTAGTAGCATGGTACTATGCCTTTTTTTTAAAAAAAGTAGTTGCATATGCTTTGTGAAATTCTAGTTTAACTTGCAAAATAAGTATTTACTTTTTATTGTAACAAATCTGATTTTACGGTTCAACAAACCAACCCATGACCCAACCAGTAAAATACCCGCGAATATAATTTTTTTTCTCTCTCTCTCTTTTTTTTGGGGGGGGAGGGGTCCATCCATCGTTTTTCGCCCTGTTTATTTCACCTCCCCGTCCACTGTGGCGGTAGGACGGTTCAAGGGCCGCGGGGACGACTGAAGAGGCAGCGCGGCCCTTTGACGCACCGCCTCTCGATTCGCGAGGAGTCTATTCACAAACGGAACAGTTGCGTCCGCCGGCGCGCGGGGCGGCGACATGACACGGGAAACGCACGCCGGACCCTAGACACTCCTGCGTATCGATTGCACCGGCTGATAAGGCGACTGGCGACAGGCGGAAATCTTCTTCTGCTCGCGACAATACGACACGAGAGTTGCAGGCAGAATGTGGAACGCGATTCCAATGGCAAGAAGATTTCCGTTGTGTTTCTTTCTCTTTATGTGACATCCTCTGCTACTTTTTCTGTATCTTCATCTCCAACCAATGGCGTCGCTTGCTCGTCGGTAATGAAACGAAAAACGTTTAAAGTCGGTAAATTGAATTCTAGCTTAATAGGAATATAAATCTAACTGTGCGGATTTGCTTTCGCCCTAATTGCAATTCCGACTTGTATTTTCCAGCTGAATGAGCAATAATCCGAACCGCTAGCCTTTTAAACGGCCCTCGCTTTTCGGGCGCCGCTCTTGACTCCACGGAGATCGTAGTAACTGTGAGTGGGCGATGCGCTGGTGTAATACTACAACTATTTCGAGTGAGTTTAATCTTAAGCCCAGTCCCTGGAGTGGAGTAATAAAAATGCGCCTCAATAAACCTAGTGAAGTCGAGTCGACCGCCGTAGAGAAGCATCGATGTTGCTGCTTTATGAATCATTTGCTAAACGCCTCGCGAAGTAAAGTTGCTCCCTTGAGAGAGTGACCTAAGAGGTCGTAAGAAAGACGCAATTGAAAATTACACCTGTAACAAAAATTATTAACGGTCGTATTTCAGGCAGTCGCCGTATGCTGACCTATGTCCGACTTAAAAACGTGGAGATATTCAATCCTGGTTGAGTTTAAAGCGAACCTTGACAGTGATCAGAGGTGAAGGAATTCATAAACTGTCTTTGCGTGTGGTTCGATCCGTGCCTGACAAGACTGATGGGTCATTAATCAAGACTTTAAATGATTGGATGAGTTATAAGAATCAAATTTTCAATGTATAAACTGCGAACATTATAACTCTTTTTTGTTTATTTCAATTAGATTAATTCATTTATTTCAATATTATTAATGATTTACAAAGTTAGGCACGCTTGGGGGCCCTTACGTTAGAGTGTTTAGTACATCAATTAATATATAAGTAAGGAAATAAAAATTGCCTGAAAAAAGAAGTGGTGTCCATCCTTTCTCGTTTTATTTGTAACGTTTGTAATTTTCGAAAATTTAGCAACACATTTGGGGTTTTCATTTTTCGATATAACGGATTTTAATGAAATTGAGGCGCGTGTCGTCTTTTCAGCTATTTTACACTGCAAGAACAAAGTTTAGTAGAAAAATTTGAGCCATTTTTGAAAACAAAATTAAATTGTTGTTGAGGCTTCTTATAAAATAC